AAATACTTTCCGTGTTTTAGGTGGCTCCTCAATTCAGATGTTTGGATTGAGGAGCCACATTCACAGTTACATAACTTTAGACATATTATACTACAAATTTCAGAATTCGGTCTACAAAATTATTTACTTCCCTACTAAATAAGGGGGCGAGCTTCCTTTTTAAATCGAAAGTGGCTCCTCCATCCATACGGACATAATTTTATTACTACAAAATATTTTTTCTTCATGCCATTTTAGAGTTTATTTAAAGCTATTAAAAGTCACACAATATATGTATAATATAAGCCAGTTTATATTTATTCTTCATACAAACAAAATAGAATCTGATTTAAATTATTTATGAATGCCCATTTTCTATTTTATTTTCGCCATTAAGTTTCCGCTTAGATATTAATTCAGTTCTCAAAAGAAAAACTTGATGCTAGTTTAAATTAAAACGGAGCTTATTTCTGATATATTAATATGCTACCTATTAATTATTACGATACTCCTTATTAGCTGCCAATCCATTATATATGGTACCCACTCTATTATTTTTTAAAACCTATATTCAGTTTACTTAGTTGCCGCATTAAATACATGCCAATTTTAACAACAGTGTAGCTTCTAAAAAAAAAACAAGTAGTAAAAGTGAGTGGCATCATCATCGAGAATATCATAGAATAGTTTTTAATGAAATCAGTAACATCATCGAGGACGACGTAATGAAAAAAGGACGCTGTTATTTATTGGTTTATTTACATGAACTTAATGTTGATTCATTGGAAAAAATATTTGAAGAAAATTCCAATAAAATGAACGTTACATTCATAGCACACCACCTTGAAGAAAAAATTTTAAAAGTGTTCTCGAAACATGTGAATTTTTTCACTATTCGCAATAAAAAAATAATTGCGCCAAAATATTTACAAGCTATAGATGATACAGTTTTTGAAAATTTACAAAGAGAAAATATTTTACAAAAATCGGCTTTTATTCTCAGAAAATTAATACTAGGAATAGAGAAAAAAAATACCATCTAGAAATATCACTGCAGAGCATTTAATATCTGGAGAAGTTTCGATACCACAACCATTGTTGGACTTTTACTTCATTTTTCTTGGTGGAAGTAGACAAAAACGGAGAAAAAACGTTAAATGTGCTCGCCAGGTACGTTCTTATTGCCAAGATATAATTTTTGGAATTCATAACGGTCGATTGAAGACGTCAAAGCACATCATGTTGGGTATGACGTCAAAAAGCTTAACAAGTAGTAGAAAAATTATTAATATTATGATATACTTCGATTGAAAAATCTACACTATGTCCAGAAAAAATAAAGAAAAAGCCTGGTCTCTTTACTGGCGTAGCTTACGATAATTTTGATCGTTTTGTTGAAACTACCAATGGGAAGGATACTCTTCACGATACCGTAGGAATTATGGTCAGAGTGTAGCAAAGGGTGTGCAAGGGATTTGGGACAAAAAATTTTTCAAAAAAATTAAAATTCTTAAAAATGCCTAGTTTTCTTTTCCATCGCTTAGTACACCTAAAAATAAAGCGAAACTCATCTGAGCACTTTTTGTCTAGGACTTCCCGTTCGCCTGCAAATGAGCTCTGAAAGTCGCTTGGTGAAAACACTTAAAAAATTTTTGACCAAAATTTTTTTTACACAATAATAATATTCCCTCGTTTTGATTTCTATCGTGTAGAGGGATGAAAAACAAACACTTTTCATTCTGATCATTTTTCGTCTATTGTCAGAGGGTTGGCGGGAAATAGTCGTCGAAACCTAAATATTGCTAAAAAAAATCAAAAACAATATTTATTTATTATACAATGATTAAAATCGTATAGAACACAAAAAAAGAATTGATATTTCCATTGGAACTTTTTAGCTGAAGTTAATAAAAAAAAAATCATAGAGAAATTCCCGACACGTCTTGAGCGTGTGCCCGCTCGTGTGACCCGGTGTCTGCGTGATATCGATGTTTTTGCCAAATTTCGGCAAGTCGATGTAAGCGACGCATTTCTGAGCAAATTTTGCTCTCAAATTTCGATTTGTTTGTGCGTTTGGTGTTTGAAAGTATTCTTTGCGATCGTAGATTTATAGTTTTTCTTATTTTAGTATTATCTCAGTGAGATGAAACAAAGCTTCCGATGACGTCACCGTATCAACGACGCGAACATAATGTTCGCATATAAAATAACAGAGTTAGGTACTAAATTCGTACTTCGTTGTTAGAATATGTAAATGGTGATTCAGTATTTGATGACGTAAGCCTAGTCTAGTACGATGTAGTCTAGCCTAGTGGCTAGATATAGATATAGATAGGTCGCGGAGAACCTAACGGGTTACCGGGGCTCCAGCTCAACGTGCAGGAGAAGGAACGGGGTGGTTTTTAGTCAGTAAGAGTCTGACACTCCCTCCCGCCTCACCTAGGCGGGAGCCGTCATGTGATGATTTTCCCCATTAACTCGTCGAGTACCGGTTTTGTAGACACAATTATAGAACAATAGATTGCGGTCACCGGTGACCGCAACCTATTATTCTATAATTGTGTCTATATTGACGGTACTCGACGAGTTAATGGGAGTACCTGTTGTCATTCTGTTGGAATATCATAGGTACCCTTTGTTCATACAAAAATAGTCTGTAAACATCGGAAATTTTATAGTTTAATTATTCCTTTTTTTAATATTTTTAATAGTAAGTACGTAGTTAGTTAATTAGTTAGAAGTAGATTTTAGTTTTAGATTTAAGTTTTCTTATTATTTTATTTTAGTTTTACAGTAGATTTAAGTTTCATTTTTATTATATTATATATATTTTTAATTTAACATGGACCCGCTGCAGTTGATTTTGGCGCGCAATTTCAATTTATGGAATTACGCTTGCGCAATTCCTAATGAGGAGACTGCGGTGACTGCAGCCAAAGCGTGGCTGCTTATTCCAGCCCGGATGCCTAGGTTTCCAACATGCAGAGGCCCCATGTCTAGAGAGACCAAAATGAGCTACAAGCTTAAGTACCGATTAAGGTGCTGGAGGTGTGCTAGGGAGGGCAGGCCGTCCATTAGGGCCCCTCTTAAAAATACGTTTTTTGAGAGGGCCCATGTTAGCGTGTTAAACACGCTACGTCTTATGGTACATTTCTTGAGAAAGGATAAAGTGTCGCAGGCGGCAAAAGATGTTGGGGTTACAAAGAAAACGGCAATCCAAACATATCATTACCTAAGAGAGGTGTGCGATGTGGCAGAAGCCCACGACAGAGACTTGTTAGGCGGAAGCAACGACGTAGTAGAAATAGACGAGACACATTTGTATACAAGAAAATACCATAGGGGCCGGCTGTTTACCCATTCGCTGCGGCAGACGCCTGTCGGCGTTTTTTAATTTCATATTCAGGTGCGGAGTACGCCTATCGGCGTTTTTTTACAATTGTATATATCTTGGCAAAAACCAGCCCTAAAATGGGAAAAATTTTGCAATAGGTGCTATATGTTTTAAATGCACAAAGTACTGCACATAGTTTCCGGATTTTTAACTATAAAAAAAAATTGCGAAATCCTTTCTAGGTGCTGAAGACGCCTAAGGGCGTTTTCGAGGATTTAACAACCTTTGATTCTAAATATATTTCGTTAATTATTACTTTTCTATAATAGTAGTGATAGGTATTTTGAAAGATCACTTATATCGCATAATTTTTATTTCCTATTTTGCATTGGTTTTACGTGTTAGGTATGACTTAATGACATAAAATTGTGTACGTATATTTACAGTAGTGGTGGGCGATTATGAATGATCGGCATAATCGAATTACGTTGTATTACTAATGTTGATAATCGATTATGGAATTAGTAACTAATATTTTTTCATAATCGAATGACGTTACTGATTTGTACTACTAATCGTGAGTGGAGTCGACAGTTGCTCTGTGACGTTAGTAGTGTATGCATTGGTTTCGTAATCGGTTGTATTCCGGTAGTGTGAAACGTGACGCTCTTTACATTAGTGGGTATATTTACCGATAAGTTTGCCGATGTTTTTATTGATAGACTGGTATTTAATTATTCAATTACATAAATATGATTAATAATAAATATTGTTTCATTATAAAGAGTTTATTATTATTTATACGTTTTTCAAATTAATTTGTGTACCTACCTAAGTCAAACACTAACACCAACTATGACAACAAATAAAACAATATACCTAAAGTGTTAATGATATTATATCACTTTATTACAGTAAAAAAAAGCTAACTTCACGCCCGCCATCATTCGTGAAATGTACTGTACGATGTTTACTAGTCACGAGCTCGCGAGTCGACTCGCAAGTCGACCGCAACCCTGACGACTACTAAAGATTAGTAACAGATTAGTAATTACTAACTTGTATAATCGAGATATCTCGAGACATCTTCATAATCGAATGATTTCATTAGTATATCTTATAATCGCCCACCACTAATTTACAGTAGACGCAAAATATCTTGACAGCCCCGAACTTCGTGCAGATGCATGCGCAGTAACTGTTTTTAAGACCAATAATACATTATACCATAAGTTTAAATTCACTAAAACTTAATAAAACTTTACCGATAACAAGACTGACAGTCTTCATGCTGTGGAATTTGGTTCCCATTGTTCTCTTGGCTAAGCCCGAACCGGTCGGTACACAGATTAAAGTGAACCTTTATGATTTGAAGTTAAGGTTCATCTTTGTTTGAAAAGTATTTTGCACTAAATGACAGAATAATTTTCTCACCGTCATCACTTCTGTTTTGCTTTCATAGTGACCAGACGTGCTGTGATATCGCCGATATTTTTAACGACCCGCTTACGTTTTATTGGACTGTTCTTGCACTTTCGATTACCACGCCTTGTGATTTTTGGACACTGATTGTGCCTACAGAACTTGTGTTGTGTACTATAATATACAAAGGAGCAAAAAAAGGTAAATATAAGTACTTAATGACATTCAGTGTTGTTATCTGTTATAAATTTATAACATTGTACGTATTGTAATAATATATTTATAACATATTATATCGCATGTGTACGTATCGCTAAGTTGTATGTAAATCGAAAATACGGCCGAGTTACAATACTTTATGGATATTATTACCGTGGTTTAGATTTTTCAACATTATTGGTAGTTAGTAATAAGTTTTTAAGAGATTTTATTCGTCCTCGCTATGTTAATGGGTTCTAGGTTGAGTCTGGATGAAGCGCCATGCTTTTCCATGACGCCAGCCAATAAGCGTCCAGCTATCACCAATACCATGCGCCCTCTGTAGGGACGCGCGGCGAACTATCCGGCGGCTCTCACGCTTTAGAGTCAGCGCACACTGAACTGCTAACTGCTCGCGTTTGTGTACAGTAAATTTAGTCAAAGTGATGCCAAAATAAATAAAAATTGTATTAACTCTCTTGTAGATAACATGGAACCCGTGCCGTCAACAAGTTTTGACATGTCTCAAAGACATGATCACGATGAACCACTAGAAAATATATTATCTTCGATGTTTACACCCGAGCACAACATGCCATCACCTGATTACGAGATGCAGACGCAGGAAGTTTTAAACGACGAAGACCTCTACGGTATATTATTAGGTGACTGCGATAATTTACTTAACGAAGAAATGGATGAAGATGAGGATAATCATCCCCACGAAGAAGATGAAGATGATACAATTGAACAGCCAGGCCATGATTGGAGTATTGGAAATCCACATCGCCAGAATGTTCTTGATTTTCAAAAACAGACTGGTTTGAAAGTGGATAACCTCTCAACTGTCAAAGTCCAGCTCTTGGACTCGACAAAATATCCGTCAACTGCTAACGTCCAGCTCTTGGACTTTTTTTTCCCGCTTTTTGAATGAAGAAATAAACCATTAAGGACTATTTCTATCTCATTCAATCATATATCGATGCGTTCAGGATAGAAAAAGCTAGCATATAAACCCCAAAGCACAGATTCGTTAGAATAAATATTATGATTTATCGTCTGTTGATTTTGTTGGCCACTTCAGTGAGCCAACAAGTGTCATTGACGCGCGTTCCGAGTTTTTGCAGCTCAAAGTTATAAATTAAAAAGTGAAGTTTTTGTGAGTGTATTGTGTTTAAACAATGCCTGGGTAAGTAACCTTTGTTTTTGTATCCTCATTTTGTCTTTTATTTCATTTATTACGAGTGAAATGAATTTTTAAAGTGCATGAAGCAAACCGCCATTTTAGAATTAAATTTTTTGTTGCCGAATGTTTACATAAAAAGTATATTAAATTTTAGTGTTTGCTGTCAGTTCTAGGTTAAAATATGTTTAAATATTCATCATCTACAGTTTAAATACATTCAAATGTGGATATAGCGCATTAATTTCAAATAATCAATGTAAATACGCAATAAGTCCTATCGAGTCAAAGTTTTGACCTTGACAATAGCGAATTCCAATTTTTTCTTTTACCGGTGGCGAAAAAAGGAACTAAAAGTCTGCCATACTGCATAAAGTTCATATTCGGATGAATTGTTAGATTTGCAAAGAAACTAGCGCCGCCACGGAGACTACGGGGCTTTGTCCGACTCCATGTTGATTCGCTGATTTAGGAAAAACTAGATGTGGCATTTGGATACCTTAGTGTGAATGTTTTTAATAATATATTTTTTTTAATTGTATTTAAATATTTTGTATTTTGATATACCTATCTAAAATGTTGTTGGGGTGGGTTAAACAACCGTTTTTTTTTACTTTTTTTTTCTTGTGAAGTTTGTTTTTTTTTTAATTTTATTTTTTGTTGTGGTGTTTGTTTTTCGCATTTGGTTTTTTTTTTTGTTGTGGTGATTGTTTTTCGCACATGCTTTTACTTTTGCACATTTCACTTTGCTTTAGCGGTGTGCGTACACGCGGTGGTAGAGGAGGACGCAGGGGAAGAGGAATGCGCGTTCGTGGTGGTGTGCATAATCGGCCTCATATATCAGCAGAAGAGTAATTGCTTTATTTTTATTTAATTGTTAGGCTTTTTAAATTTTCAATGATTTTCTATATTCACTATTTTTCTAAAGGAGTCATAATTGCTTGAATATTAATCCTAATAAATATTATAAATCCGAAAGTAAATCTGTATGTCTGTCCGTCCATCATTCACGCCCTAACCATTGAACCGATTTTGATGAAATTTGGCATAGAGGTAGTTTGGGATCCGATAACGGACATAGGCTAGGACTTTTATCCCGATATTTGCAGTAATATTATTAACGACATTTATCCGACATTTATGACCCGTTTTTAGCAAATAGTAAATATGCATACGAATCGTGTAAACCTGAAAAAACTGTTTTCTTTTAAGTATTAACGTCGGCATGATAGAGGAGCTGCCAGCCGGTAGCCCTCTTGAGGTGCCTTTGCACCCGCCTAAGCGACGCAGATATGTACCGGAAGCTGCTGTTCCCAGTACATCAGGGTAAGAAAAAATATTTTACCTGTTTCAAGTTGCTGTTAATCGTGTAACTTTAAACTTATTTTATTGTTATAATAGTATCTGGTCATCAACGCCTACCGACGACGCAGGCGTCGTCATGAACAGTGACGTCGCGGAAGGTAGCGTGGCGGGAGGCAACCTAATACAGGAGCAGAGCGTGGCTCAGTAAGTAATAAAATAACCTGTTATACTGTGTTATGAAGTGGGCGTGTCCGCAAATAATATATATGTTTGTTTGTTAATAATATTTTTTTTTGGTTTCAGTACATGTGATGACCCTCCTTCACCGAGCGTGTAAGTATCATCGCACAAGGTTTTATTAAAATTCAACACAAAAGTATTCTTCAAATAATATATTTATTTTATATTTCAGGTTTGTGGAATGTAGTACATCAATTACGCCACGTGCGCGGGGAATGTATGGTCCTCATCGTCGGCTACAGGATAATGAGATTGAGGACTTCCTCAACTATGGTTGGTATTTTTTTATAATACACCAGCAATTCATATTATTTAATGTATAGGTTGGTCAATTATTTCTTTCTCCATAGGAAGTGAAGAGGAGGAGGATGGCGCCGACAATGAGGTCATGATTCCCCGCACACTGCAAATGTTCTTTGAACCCGAAGAAGATACTAACGAAGAGGCTGAAGCGGCCGGGCGCATTGATGTGGAGCAGTTGTCCACCTTGGTCCCTGGGGTAGCAAATGGACCTTCTTCACTGTACGATTTTACTTGGAGGAGCTACCCCACGGAACCTATTTCACCTGCCGAGCGCCGCGAAAAGTTTGTTGGTGACAGTGGCCCCACGATTGAACGGACCACAGATCCTTATGAGATATTCACAAGGATTTGGGACCATTCAATCATGGGGCACATTGTCACCCAAACTAATTTATACGCACAGGAGTATGCCTCCCATTTACTTGATACGGGGTTGATGGGCCCCCATAGTCGCATCACTAGGTGGAAAGACGTCACGTTAGACGAGCTTTACGTCTATTTTGCCATAGTGTTGGCTATGGGGGTCCTTGTCAAATCAAAAATGGAAGAATACTGGTGCCGCGATGGCAATATTTTCAGCACACCACATTTTGCCGCATATATGCCTCTTTTTAGGTTCCAGCTTATTAATAGATGTTTACACTTTAATGATAATAGACTTCTTATGCCAGATTTATTACCTAAAGAGGCTAAACTATTTAAAATCAAACCAATAGTTACCCATTTAAATTCAGCATTTTCTAAATTGTTTAATCTTTACCAAAACGTTGCACTCGACGAGTCACTGACGCAGTGGAAGGGCTGGTTAAACATAAAACAGTACATACCAAACAAAAAGTCCGCAGTTGGAATCAAAACATACGAAGTATGTGACTCCCGCACAGGATATCTGTGGCGGTTTGAAGTCCATACGGGTGCTGAAAGTCCATCCACGGAGAACGATAGAATAATTGTGGGGAGTATACCAAATTTAGTTCTTCGACTGTTGGACGGCCTTGAACACAGTGGTCGTACCATATGGATGGACAACTATTATAACTCCCCTTCTTTAGCCCGCGTCTTAAAAACGCTTGGTCTCGACTGCGTCGGGACTTTGCGGACCAACCGACAATTTGTCCCAAATGAAATTGTCGCTTTAAAGCAGGGGAACATGAGAGTAGGACAGGTGTGCGGCTGCACATCCGGAGACGTCGACCTGATGGTGTGGCGAGATCAGAACAAGGTTGCTATGATTTCGACATACCATGGGGTCGCAGTCTCTGATGGTAAGCCCACAATTGTCAAAGATTATAATATCTGTATGGGGGGCGTAGATCGTAAAGACCAGATGTTATCTACGTATCCTGTAGAGAGAAAACGTACTATGGTATGGTACAAAAAATTCTTCAAAAGGCTTCTGAATGTGAGCGTTCTAAACGCTTACATTATCAGCAAGTGTTTTGATGAATCAGTCGATCACAGAGACTTCAGAACCGATTTAATTAAGGCTATATTACAAAAACATAGCCAGCCTTTGCAGTCCGTCAGTGTCGCTCCGCTGCTATCTCTCGCTGGGCCAAAACTATCGCCTGAGGTGATAGCGCACTTTCCAACATGGCTCCCAACTCTGCCGAATGGATTTGGTAGACAAAAGCGTCAGTGTGCTGTTTGCAAAAAGCGTACTTACCAGTTTTGCAAACAGTGCAACGTTGCTTTATGTTTTGACCCAGAGCGAGATTGCTGCTACATACAGTACCATTCTTAAACGAACAGACTGACTGACTGACACAGCCTCCCCAAGTTAGAATCGAGACAGACTGACTGACAAATCGTAACATACCGTATAGTTTTTATTTGACGTTTCTGTGTGCTTTTTGTAAAAACCAAAAGAAATAAATGACTTTGAGTTTGAGTTATAGTTTGGCAGAAAAGTGACTGTGATATACGGGTGGACAACTGTATCCGTAAGTACAATACACTACCAAGTAATGTGCCTGAATTATCAGCAAAAATTGTGCCATGAGGCTTACTATAGCATTAAAGAGTTTTTCAATGACAAGGCTGCTTGGCAGTGAATGAATTGCTCATCGTCTTAAGCATAAAAAAACTATGTAATAGATGTTGAAAAAAGCCGGACTGAGTTTCTTGGGGGTACTTCTCAGTCTCGTTGCATTTTGGAACCCTCGATAGAGTCATCACATCACAGACAGACTGACAAATTCTTAGGTTAGTTTTTTTACTGACGTTTCTTAATGTTTTTTGTAAATTTTGTGTTTTGACAGACAGACATGATGAATTTGTAAGGGTTGCGTTTTTTGCCATTTAGCTACGGATCCCCTACTAAACGGAAAAATACTACGAAATACGGAAACTGGGCAGTTCTGGAAAACCATACACCTCCTTTTTATTAAGTTGGTTAAAAAAATACCGACTCACGCTTGACCATTGAACAAAAGTTGTTTTCAAAACAATTTTTGTTTCTGGACGTCAAGTCATTGATAATAATTGTATTGATTAATCCGGTAATGCCGCATCCAGTTACAACTTCATTCTAGATCCGTGTCAGAATATGGTGGGTGATTTACGGGTGTTTGTAAATGCGTTTTATGATAAAAAAATGTATTAAAGCCTATGATTTAACACATCAAATATTGTAAATATTAGATTTAAGTTTAAAATAAAACATAACTGAACTATAAGAAATCCATGTTTTATTGATAAATACCACAATTAAAACTTTATTCAACTTTTACTAACAGTATTTACTCAAGGAGTGTATGAAGTTTGTATATTCATTTATAGGAAATTTCATACAGAATTCAGAAATGCATACATGTTATAGTATTTGATATACAAAAATAAAGAAATTTACGTAAAATCTGACGGTCCCCCTTCCGGTGTCTATTTTTCCGCCATTTTTTTTT